AGTCTCCCTCCACACCAACACTTTGATATTAGGAATTGATAAGATGTTTTGAGTTGATTCGTCTACTCGATTAGTATCAAACCCCATGATTATAATACCGAATTGATCTACTGCAGAGATCGCAATATCAAGGAGAGGAAAAAAGAGTAAAGTGTCTCATTTAATATCATTCATCTGAACCACAAGCCTTCTTTTGTATGCTAGATTCATTGTACAAAGTTAATTGAAAAAATTAACATATAAGTCCCTATAATTTTTATCAAGTTATTACAATTTTCGCAATTATAAATATAGGTCTCTATACTCATAATTTGTTAGTTTCTAAGAAAAATGGTGTTAGTAGTTGATGAGGTGACTCTCACATAGCGTACACCTACATTAATTCTGCCACATCTTTTAAATAAAATTAAAATCAAGCATATCACAAATTATATATAGATGTTGAGGACAGTTATGAGTATAATAATTTTTATTATGTCAATAATAAATAAATTTTATTCCATAATTTTATTTTTTAAAACTTCTTTTTAATTTTGTATGTTTTTTGTTGACTATGACAGCTTATGTATCACTTAGCATCTACATAAGTTATAATTAACATATTATAAATAGTGAGATTAATTCTTATCATTGAGTCAACGTTAAGGACTCAATGATAAGATTACAAAGATCTAGTTAAAAAAATCAGACAAACAATGTATTTACGATGCAAAGAGGTCCTCCATTATTGCAAATAGTTATCTTTTCCATTTCTAGCGATTCATGGAATAAGATACTACCTCCGGTTTTAATTATAAAAGCTAGTTAACTAATTTGAAGAGACTAAAAAAGAAGTTAAGTTAGTTATTTGTAATAAATAGGTGTTATCATCCCTCTTGCTTGGATAGATGAGAAGAGAAGTTGGGAGGAAAGAAAATAGAAGAAGAGAAAATAGAAAAAAAGTGTTATCATCCCTCTTGCTTGGATAGATGAGAGAAAATAGGAAGAAAAAAAAAAAAGAGAGCAAATATCCTTATCAAAATATATCATATTTAAAATTGAATCAAATTAAATATTGCAATAGAAAAATTATATTAATATTAACATCATCAAACAATTTAAAATCAAGTTATTTAGTTTATATATTTTTTCAGATTATTATATTTTAAAACCAAATTATTTAATAAAAATATTTTTTAAGATAAAATAAAAAATGAATAATTTTTTAATATAACAAAAAAATAAATATGAAGAGAAAGATTGAGGATGGCAGGCACAAAAATCTGGTTTTTCTTCCCAAATTTCTCCATATATGGAGAGAAAATTAGGAGAGAAAATAGGCATGAGCCTACCTTATTTTCTCCTCCATTTTTCTTTCCTATTCAAGTAAGGAAAAACTCATTTCTCCTTATATTTTTTCCTAGTTTTTTCTTCTATCTAATTTTCTCTCAATCCAAGCAAGAGGTTAATGTAAATGAAAAGATTTTTGTCCATAACATGTCGATGTTGTTTAGCTTCATAAGAAAAGGTAGGGAGAATTTTGAATATAATTGTTAGACAAGTTGAATTTCCATTCATAACCAACACTTTGATATTGGGAATTGGTAAGATGTTTTGAGCTGATTCATCGTCCTATGGAGCACCAAACTCCATGACAACAATACCAAGTTGATCTATTGCAGAAATCACAAAACTAAAGGGAGAAAAAGAAAACTAAAGTAATACATTTAATATCATTTATCTAAACGACTAACCTTCCTTTCGATGCTAGATTTATTGTATAAATTAATTAGAAAATTTAATATGCATTTTAATTCAGTCTCACATATGTATATTCTTTTTATTGAGCTCTTATAATTATTCATTATTAGTCCTTGTAAATTAAGAGACCTAATTGTTATGATGACTATTAATTTTCCCAATTTAAGTGCAAAACCTCATTCCTGAAAAATGTTAAGAAATAATAACAATGTTTTCATTTTTTGTCCATTTCAACATAGACCGCATTTTCACCCCGAGTTGAGGTCTAATTACAAAATAATTGAGGTCTAATCACAAAATAGGCAAATGCACTTTGAAATGCAACAAAGTCCCAAAACTCCAGATAAAAAAACATTTAATTTTTAGTTGATTTTTATAATTAGAAATACGTTAATATTTGGACCCATCTTTTATTTCCAAATTCAACAACAACAAAACCTCCTCAGGGTCAGGTGCAGATCATAGGCCTAATTAGTCCCTCAATTTCCCCCTAACATAACTGGAATGATATCCGAACAGTATTAGCATGACTGGTGCGAGTTAACTATGAGCTCATACTTCGCCTACTTCAAATGAGCATTTGTATTGTAATTCTAACCGCACACCATAAGAACTCAACAACTAAGAAAGACCACAAATTACAGAAAGGAAAATGAGATTGATACATCATTGAAAAGAAACAGAAGCCAATAACAAAAAGTTACCTCACCTCTGAAAACCCACCCGAGACATGCCAAAAGAAGCCTAATGTTACACTACAAATTTACATGCCTACCATTAAATAAAAAATTAAAAAAAAAAAAAAACCTACATGCCAGTTTATGCTCAAACTGTAATTAAACCGGAAAGGTAAGATAATTACATTCTCCAAAAGCATTTCAGGACTCATGAGATCTACAAGTTTAACATATCCTACTTAAATAAAAGGCGACGCCTTGCTGATTTCGTAAGATTTGGACTGGACATTGTTCTTTTGCCTTTTAAGGTCCCACAGTCAAGGTCATCAAAGCTATCAGATGCAGCTTCCTGTTTGAATGATCTTGCGTTTTCACTGAGCGGTAGAACTTTGTAATGCTTTGTTGAATACTACTTGTTTTTAATGATGAACTCTCCTTCTCTAGAGATCGTGGGGTAGAAGCCTTTCTTATTTTTGATCCCTTCAGTTCCTGCATTTTTCAGTGACAAAGATGTAAACTAGGACCCAAACTAGTAGTTTATATAACTGTCTCTTCAACACTCATCTACTATTTGCAAATTAAGGCCATATTTCTTTTGCCAACAATTTTAGTTAACTCTTATAATTCAACGTGAAACTTAATTAAACTAACAAACATTAAACAGGTTGACGTCCTAAATTTTGGCCAACTCTCCATCACCTCTCTTTGGCTGAGTGGCATGTATTTCCATGGTGCTCATTTTTCCAATTATGAAGCATGACTAAGCAATCCTATTCACGTTGGACCTATGCCTAGGTGGTTTGGCCAATAGTGGGCCAAGAAATATTGAACTTACAATTCAATTTCCAGCTCCCACAATCAACCAAAATAATTTCACATAGGGCAGATGATTGATAAGTTGAAAAGTCTCTTTTTCTTTGGGGGCCCGGGGGGGGGGGGGGGGACTTGTTAAGGTAAAGAGTAAGCACCTGCTCTTGCCAAAACCTTTCAACTTTTGCTGGAAAAGCAGCCCTCACAAGATCCATATTTTCATCTGTCAGCAGGAAGCTACACCCATCACCCATATCAGAAATACTAGAATCATCTAGTAGATCCACAAATTCATCATGCTCACTACCATCTGCTTGCTGCATGCTAGAGTCATGAGATGGAACTGTACAGCTAACGTTGCCAACTGCACATTTCCACTTGACAACATAAGATTGATATCCATATCTTATCTTCACACGCTGTATTGAATCAAGCTCGAATGTCCCAAGTACCAAACTTTCTACAGGAGCATTAGCCATGTCTCTCAAAAAGATAGTAGACATCATAGGAAATAGCTGTCGTCGAATGTAAGATGGATCCCAATGCTGATGAAAGTTTAAAAAATCTATCAGCATCTCAATCTTGGGTTTGCCCCATGAGATGCAAGGATCATCACTTGCTGCAACAATTAAAGGACAAAATATAGAATGAATGGCTATTATGAAGTTCTCATAGTTACAGATAGATTAGCAAAACTGAAGAAAATCAACATAAATAGCATATACACCTGAATCCTAAGCACATATTATAAAAACATAACTAAAGGCAATTATAATAAATAAATATCATTGATAAAATACATCTTGCCAATTACAGCTAGAGACAGAATTCAACATACCAGGAAGGCAACCACTGTCTTTACATAAATACATTTCAATTATTTCGTCTCTGGGAAATTTGAGCTCTTGTGCAATTTTGAGACAAATTTTTGTGTACCAATTTTCCCTCCTTCTCTGCCCCTTTCGTTTACTAACCTACCAATCCAATGTTAAAAACCTCACAAGTAATACTGAAATGGCCTTGCACACACTCTAACTGATAACTCACTAGCTGAAATGGATGAGACAGCATACCATATCACAGGAAGGGCAACCACAGGTAAAACCCTCTGGTTTTCTCAAGCAACCTTCATCATCACTTGTTATGCAAAATTCACAAGAAGATTTCATATGATCTCTTTTGCTGCCCGGATGCCCACAAAAGGAACAATGAAGCTGTTTTCGGCTTGGAAAGTTCCCCTCCATGTCAACACAATTTTCAGCAGATTTAATGTTGGTGGGAGCTGACGAAACTTTCCCATTGCCAATATCTTGCAATCTGCAAAACGACACTCACATTCCAGATTATTTAATTTGTTACTTTCTAATATTCATTCCATGCCCGAAAATAAAAAAGTATGATACAAGCATGAATATACACCTATTCAACACATCTTCTTCACCGAAACATCTAACAAAACGAAGAGCCGTATCAAGCCCAATCCCCCGAACACCATTTAAATCATAATCATTTCCAACGAGAAGAGAGACTATGAGGTGTCTCCTCTTCAACCCAAGGCCAGCTTCAATATCTTCGATATTGTAGCATTCAAAAGCTTCCTGCTTGCAAATATGCAGTAAAAGTCTTAAATCTTAAACTAGACAAAATAAATCCTTAAAATTTTTTAAAACAATTAAAAAAAAAAAAAAGAAATAGTGCAGAAGATTGCAGGAAGAAGTGCTCTCAAGTAATCCTCTGTGGTATAGAAAATGCACTTCTCTATTTTTAAAAGGTTGATAAAGAGAAATTTTCAGACAAATTTGGTTTTCCATGACAGAGATTCTGCACATATATTGCTATATTTTTGGGGATATGGAACTGGAATATATGTAAGTGGGAAAGAAAGTTACTCATCCTGACATCCTATTTAAAATTATTTGACCAAAAAGACAGTTCGTAGTTAAAGCTGTCATAATTATCTCAGTCAACTCCCTCCCTCCTTCCACGTAGATGCTATCATAAAAGGAGTAAATATTATTACCCCTGATTCTTAATATAAAATTTAGTTTCTAGTACAAAACTAGATCTTATATTAAGAACCGGGGGTAGTGACTTCTGGTCACTACCATGAAAGACATAACAAGGAGTTTCCTTTGTGACAGACTGACAATGTAAGAATAAAGAAGGGCTTGATTGAAGTGATTATGTATTAGATTAACTTTTAACTGTTTCTTTGGTCATACAAATGAAATTAGCATACTTACAGCTCAATTCAGCCAGTCAGGCAAATTGAGATCATGATAAATTTTGGCAATAATCAAAAGAAACAAGAAAACTTAAGGAAAAAGTAGGAAGATAGAAGCCAGCACTGTATTCACGAGGCCACTTACTTTGGCATTAGAGCAGAAGCTTTTTATAACGCATTTCGCACCATATAGGAATGCATCACTGTCAGATGTGATGCAAGCATCTACGTAACCTTCACTATTTAATTGGGCACAGAGTGCTTCTGCCTCTCCTTTAGCATATAGTACAGGCATTCCAAGTAACTCCACAAGTTCCTAATGCAAAACAATTTATAACTATATAGAAAAGATTAAACAAGTATAGACGGATAAAAGACAACTCCAATCAAAGGTGTGATGGATGTAACAGCTAGTTTACTTGCAGTATACACATCTCTTATATTCAAGTAAAACTGGGTGAATCTGAATACAAAAGGCAATCCTTCAGAAGGATGAACATTCATGAACACAATGAACTACCAAGACTCCTAAATCCATATCCTCTCTGGATTTGCAAGAACCATCCTTGAATGTTTTCTCAATAAAGTGCAGCCTTATAAAAGCACAATAAAAAAAGACTTCAAAATGAATGATAATTCTGCATGACACTTAGCTAACCTGATTTTTTCTTCAGCTACTGAAATGAGGCACCCATAACAAAATAAATACCCGACATATCTATTAACATCAGAAAAGTTCCTCCACTTTATAATGAGAACAAGTTTACGCATTATCGAGGGGCAAAAAAAAAAAAAATCTCTACAGATCCAAAAGCCATAATAACATAAAGCTTACATATCCAGCACGCTAATTAAGATTTGTAGTGTTTTGGGATAGACCGTTAATCCATAACTTTTTTTCCTTTTTAACAAATAGACCATGAATCCATCATGTATTTAATGCCAAACCCAAAAAAAAAAAAAACGATGGATCTAAAGAACATTTGCAACAGGTATCAAGGTTAAGTTACGCACGAGACATTCCTGAACATGCCTTGAAAATTCACGGTTCCTCTCAACGGGAACACTGTCTTCATCCACCGGAAAATCTTTTAGTTCAATGCCAGAAAAACGGAAAAATCTTGAAATCCTAGCATGTGATTTCAACGGCGAAGGGGTCCCATCTGCCACAAAGACTGGATATGCTCCAAACTGCAAAATTCACCAACCCCCGTCAATCTCTCCCATATAAAACTTACTTCCCTCCCTCGAATTCGTGCCAATGAAGCATAGGAGACAAAAGAATACAGATTTCTGCCCACCTCATCATAATGACACCCCTGTTACCTACTCTTTCGTTTGATATTAATAATTCCGTTGACAAGAACTCATTTAAATCAAAACGACAACAGCAGGAGGAGGAGGAGGAGGAGGAGGAGGAGACATCACTTTCAAACACTTTTCAAGGCAGCAGCCAAACGGGTCAGAGTGAGAAAGGAAACAAGAAAAGCATCGTATGCACCTTGGAGAAGAGATTGATGGTGCGGAAGAAGGTAAGTCGTAGATGAGGTTTCCGAGCATGGGCCTTAATAGCAGTCTGATGCTGGATAATCCAGAAGGAGAGGTCCACAGCGACTCGCTTGTCCCTCAAGAAATCAAAACCTTCGGCTCGTGCATATGGCTTTAGCAAATCCCAGAAATGTCCCCCCACCCCCATTGACTTCCCTCAACTGCAAAATTGTTCTGAGCAAACATCCATCGGCAAAAGGAAAGACAGAGCGAAAGACGGAAGCCTTCTGCACCTCCCTGACCCGTGTTAGGTTTCACCCCGGAACTGAGGAGAAAGTGTCGAGGCGAAGTGCGTGGCATTTTTCGTTTGATATGTGATTATTTAATATTTTGGTCATTCAGGCTTCTAGCCGTTACAGTTTTTTTTTTTGGGTTTTGGGCCAAGTCGACGTTACAGTACCGGAGAGCAAAACATCGAAAAGCCCAGAATGCTAGAGCCGATTTGCAAAAACCGCTATTATAGTCCAAGCCCACCAATATAATGGGCCCCTGCCTATGTGGGTATGTTATAAATAATTTGTGACTAGTTTAAATTCATATTTAGTATTCCTCCGATTCTTAATATAAAACCTATTTAACTAATTTGATTAGATTAAAAAATTTAATTAAATTAGATAATTATAATAAATATGACATTTTTTTTCAAAATAACTTAATCATCTTCATTCTATCTTTTCTCTCTCTTTCATACTTGATTGTGGTTGAGGAAATATCAATAAGAGTGATTTGGGAAAAAATGATAGATATAAGAAATAAGTTTTATATTTAGAACTAAAATTAACTTCATAATTAAATCCTATATTAAAGACCAGAGGAGTATCTGATAATGCCTTAAATAATATTGTCTTTACCAGGAAGATACTTACGCTTGGCAAAAAAAATTGTACCAAATATATCAAGAGAAGGGATATTCTCTATCTTCCTTTAGTTTCCTGAAACGCATTTCATCCCATAGTTTTCTTCTTCTGAGGAGGAAGCTCCAACCCGTGTCATCTATTTTAGCGTCTATGACAATTCACAACTCAACGGATTTTGAGCTTCTGAAATAAAACTTACGACTCGTACAGTTTTTTTTTTTGGCCGGAAAAAAAAACTGTACGAGTCGTAGGTTTTATTTCAGAAGCTCAAAATCCGTTGAGTTGTGAACTGTACGACTCGTACAGTTGAATAGTAAAATTTGATGGAAATTATTAAGATTATTGATTGATAATTAATGTGATTGGTGATTAATTGATGCCCTCCTCTGCTTTTCTCATTCTTTTAATTATGATATTAACTTTGGACTGTTCGATTCAATACCTTATAAAATAGTTTTATTTTGTTACTATAGCTTTACACGGCTTAGATTAAACTAAAAATTTCTACCTGCATGATTTACAGATTAGTATATTTGATTAGATTTAAAATTTTAATAAATTGTATTATCTACTGTAGCTCAAGATTTACTTTTTATAAGTGTATGCTTTTTTTATTCACTCAAATAGAACTTGAATTAGAAATACGGAATTTAGGATGAATAGATAAAAATTTAAAATTATCTATTTATTTCTCCATTCTCCATTTAAGAATTCAATTGGCATACTATTTAATTATGATGCTCAACCTTTAATGTAATATATTCAAATCTCAACTAAGATATTATTCAAATTCAAAATTAATTATTAATTTCTTCATTTGAGCCTCCAATTAAAATTTTATTTATTTATAATATTTCCTAGTTAATTCAATAAATTCAAATTTCAATCAATGTGTTATTCAAATCTGATTAATTGAATATATTCGTATTTCATAACGGGCCCGTTTGGAGTAGTTTATAAGTAGCTTTTTAATTGTGATTTACGAAATACAAGATAAATGTGTGAGAGGAGTTTTGCCTCGACTTACATGAAACATATTTATAAGTGATTTCAATTATGATGACAAACAGGACCAATGTTATACCCAACCCATTTTCAAATGAATCGGGTATTACAAGTTTTCAAGAATATAATGATTAAAAAAGAGAAAAGGAGAGAAAATAATGCGGAAGAAATTGGAAAGAATCACTGGCATCATTATTGATGGGCCACGATGGTGAGATTTTCTTGAAAGGTACATGCAGCTGGAAGCCCCACAGCCGTCCAGTCCTTTGGTCCTACCTCGGCATGACGCTTCAGCTTTTTCAGTTTTTCTTTATACCTTAAAATCTGTTTTTTTTTTTGGAATCTTCTATTTAAGATATTTTTTATTAAAGCATTTTAACGTAAGCTTACTTGAAGGTACAGATGTTAACTATAAGGATATTTATTGCATTGAATCCCCTCTCCAATCTTTATTTTTGCTGGGCTTTGGTTTTAGTTTTTATATTCTTTTCCATTATTTTTGTTTTTATATTGTATGTCGTTTAAAATGCTAGTTTTATAATTTCATAAAGATTTGAATTTGAATTTCACAGTATTAATTTTGTTCACGCGCCATTAATGCCATTAAGCAGGTTGATATAAACTAATGTGATTTATTCGCGGAGACCAACATTAAAACTCGTCAAAAATATATATGTTAAATTAGAGCTCATTTGAAAGTCTTGAGTTCAACCCTGTTCGTTAGCCCCCCCCCCAAAAAAAAAGTTCAGCCCCTTTAAATAAAATCGGAGTTTTTTGGCCAATGAATAAAATTAGATTTGAAAGTAAGAAAATAGAGCGGAAATGTTGAAAACGATATTTTATTGTTGAAAATCAATTTCTTCATTCAATCTATTATGCCGCTTAAAGTTGATTTCTTTATCATGTTACATGAGATTAAAGTGTCTTTTTTTTTTTTTTTAATTGGGTCAAACCTAGTACTTTTAATAAGTTTTTATTTTAGTCTCTAAATTTCTTTTTTAAAAAAATGATTTTGATTCTTATGGTTTTAGTAAATGTTGGTTTCAATTTTCACCCGCTGGTCACATCAATTGTAGCCAGTAGTCTATTTCACCTACTTGATGATGTTAACACCACACCAATGAAATTAAACTCAAATTAAATCCTTATGAAATTATATTGGTTAATATTTTGGATGGTATGAAATATATGGATAAAAAATAACGAAAAGAGTAATATACTGGTCAAAACAATTATTTTTTGAAAAAAAATGGTATAGCCACTTGGAGTGAATTTAACCAATTTCATTTCATAGAGTTATTTAATGATATTTGTTGGAGGCTTGAAGATTGAAGGAAAGCGACTTCGCTGAGCGTCTTGGACACTTCTTCTTGTTTTTTTTTTTTTTTGGGGCCAACGTCTGATATAAGAAACAAGCCCGAACAAAACTTTAATTTGTTGAAGTGACCAGATGAAAATATATTTTTATTTTACATTTGGTTTTAACTGAGCCTTCTAATTATTACCAATGTAAATAAAAAAGCTTCATATTAATAATATAATAAAGTACCGGAGCTTTTGGAATAATTTTTTGTTGTTCAATCTTTCTCCCTGGGTATTATTAGACATTATACAATGTTTTTACACCTTCAATCTTTTCTGCACATTTTGACTGGGTTTAAATTTTTAGAAAAATAAATATGTGCATTGCACACTAGAAGATATCTTGTCTAGCTACCAAAGTATTATCGAAATTTTCTATCATTGACACGGACTGCCAATGACCATTAAATGTTTTTTTTCCCTTTTTTTTTTACCACAACAATTTTTTTCTCTCTTTCAAATTCTAACAATTTAAAGTTAAAAAGAAACACTAGTTCTGGAGTTAATATATATATATACACACATACTATCTCCGGTCTTTAATATAAGACCTAGTTTGATTTTTTATTTTAGTCTTAACTATAAGACTCAATCCACTTTGTCTCTCATATTTATTTATTTATTTCCAAGATAATAATTCTAATAATAATAGTTCTAGTCAATAAATTTGATTAATAAAGATATTTTAGGAAAGACAACACCTATTTATTATAAATAATTAATTTAATTTTTTTTTAATCTATTCAAATTAGTCAATTAGCTTTTATATTTAGGACCAGAGATAGTATATATATAATTGACTAAGCATTCTCCAAACTTCAAACGTTAGATCTATTGGAGAATTTTTCAGAAGATATATGCGTGTGAGGTTCACAACTAGCCCGAAGGACCGATGTAGAGTAGAGAGATATTTAATCTAAAATCCCTTTGAAATGTTATTTATCTTGGAGGACGTAAAGGGCAAAAATGAAATCAAAATGACCCAGACATCCTCGTGCTCCATTTTATCTCGTGACCTTTTTACATTATTACTCTATTGCTCCTACTCATGGAATACTGGAGACGTAGAGACAACCATCGTGTCCCTTTCCCAGAATTCTCTGCCGTTAAAAAAAAGTTGCTTCATCTTCTATTTTCATATGTCGAAATTTCTAAATTAACGCGCAAAGAAGATGAAAATGGCGATGAGACAAATGAGTGCGCAGATGACGTTGGATCCAGCTGGGGATGGCTTGGATTTCCATGATGAGTGAAATTTTCTGTGTCTTCGAAAGCAATAATACTTTAAGGATTGACCAATGTTTCCCCTACATACACGTTCGTTTAATTATTACTCCTCCGGTCCTTAATATAAGACCCATTTAACTAATTTGATTAGATTAAGGAAGTTAGGTAAGTTAGTTAATTATAAGAAAAGTGACACATTTTTCCTAAAACACCATAATCATCTTTTTTAATACCTCATCTCCCTCTTCTATTTGATTATGGTTGAGGGAGTATCTATAGGGGTAATTTAGAGAAAATTGATAAATATGAAAAATGGGTCTTGTATTTAGGACCAAAACCAATTCAAGAATTGTGCCCTATATTAAGGACCGGAGGAGTATTATATAAATAAGTATTTCATGTTCTGGTTTGATTATAATTTATAAAATTATACAATAATAACGATGTACAAACATATATAATTTCTCATCCAATTATCTCTATTTAAAATGTCTGCCTTATTGGGAAGTCCTGAGTTTTGACTTTAACTTTTATAAAATAACGTCCGTCTTGTTACGAGAATCATGAGTCTGAAGTTTTAACTTTAGATTTTACTTAAAAATCATGCTTGGCATATGACAAAACATATAATAAATTTACATTTATAATTTATAAATAGTACAACTCATTATTTTTTTTGCCAGCAGTACAACTCATTATTTAAATCACAAAAATATACATATAATCATATCAATTTTAATACATTACTTAGATTATATTAGAAATAGAAATTTAGAATAGAACTTTGGCCCGTGTGTAAAG